GCGGAGATTCCCTCGCGCGCGTTTACATATATGTATATATAACTGCACCGCAACTACCCTTCTTTTCATTTTGGCAATTGCCGTGTAGCAATCATGGAAAACATTCTCTCTCTCTCTCTCTCTTCCGCTGCCTCTCCAGTCGAATTTTGCTTTATTCTCCTGACTGAATTTATATCCGCGCGCTTGTACACGTGTACGGAGGCGGCGCCGTTACATCTTCCTACCGAGTTTCCTGCAAGCCTCACTCGAAACGACATAAACGGACGGAAACGATCCTGCGCGAGATGCACCGTCGATGTTTCGCATGGAAAACGCTCATTCAACGTGCACTAATTCGCGTTTGCGTGTTTAGCGAAATTGCAAATCGCGCGGCATACACCGTCAGCAGCGAGCCAGCATGGAAACCGATGAAATTGCGGCTACGACTTTGTCAAGAGGCACTGCGAGATGCGGGTCTTGTTTAGAAACATATTATCTCAATTAGTTGTATGAACACATGAGTGTATAGTATATAAAATAAAGAAGATGGCCCGAAGATACACAAAATTTCAATCTGGTTCATTATTAGAGCCTATAATCGAGAGGTGAAAAGTTACATATCAAGTACGTTTTACAAAGATAGACAGATAAATATTTGACGAAGCTCTCTTTTGCTGTTATTCAAGAAATTGACGGAATCTTGACGAAATCAAGTTACACTCAGAGAAAAATATTGTAACACAAATGACAACTATACGAATTTTGTACGTAGAATTAACGTATATAGTTTGACAAACTACTTATAGTTATTGCAATTAAATCTAAATAGTATATAAAACAGCATAAACTATAAATAGTTCTCGTTAATTACAGCTGCCGTAACTGTACAGATTTACTTGCAATCGTTATAAGATTGTTTATTAAATTGTATACATTAATATAACTATATTAATTCTACGTACAAAATTCTTATTCTTGTCACTTATGTTACTATATTTTTCTTATGTTACTACATTTTTCTCTGAGTGTAGTATGACTCTGGATTTCAGACACGATGGTCGAAATCACGGGAGGACATTGTTTCACATATAAGCCGTTCCATTCTGGAACTTCGGATTTGAAACGTCGCTTCAAATTCACCACGTTAAATCTATCCTTTGCCGATCTTGATCTTGTTAATCTCTTATATTAGTTTCCACTTTGTTACATAATTCGGTCCTTGTAACCAGAAATTCTGTTTCCCTCACGCGTTTGGTTATCCACTTTCGGATTGATCCAACCAAACACTGGCTCTTCTCAGTGTAATCTTTACTAATATTACCCACTTTGCTGTCGATTAGCGAAATTACCAAGATGAAACAGTCTCTATAGAAGCCTCGAGAGAGCTTTCGCACGCCGTTTCGATCTCGTGTTGTTCATCGCGCTTATCGCGTCGGAATTGCAGAAATTGCCGATGGTGAGATGCGAAACTCGAGGAGCGGAATCGATGTACTTTTTAGTGAACGATCGGGCGACGTCGTGGATGTGGGAGAACGAGAGAGAGAGAGAGAGAGAGCTAGCGAGTGAGTCGTCCCTTTAAAAGCTCTCGCGCTAGTCACGGCATTCTGTTTCCTCAAAGATAGCGACACGGGCCGTGGAGGCGGCGAGGACGAGAGAGAAATAGACGGCGAACGAGGGTGGCAAAGTTGAGATGAGTTGGGCGCACAGGGGGTTGGGTGACGCTGTACCGGAGGCTGCCATTATATCTGAGCCGCCATTTTAAATTGAATTTTCTCCACCCTAGATAGATCTGAAACGTCTCAGGCTTGCCTGGCTCTCGCTATTCCTTCTACTACGAGAGGGCGAGCGAGGACGAGGAGATGGCGTCGGGAGAACCGGGGGTTGAGAGGAAGAAGGAGGACGGGACGGGGGGAAGACAGGGGTAAGGGCCCCCTTTCTTACGCGCGGCCGCCATCCTGCTTTTTTCTTCCACCAAGAACCCCTGTTTCGCGATGGGATACGTAAACCCGGACCGGCTTCGTCGCTCGGGGGTGCGACGAAATTTCGACGAGTCTCGCCGCTCTCTCCGCGAGTTTTCGCGTCGCGAAACGGCAGGGGGTGCCTTTGAAATTCGAGCGGGTGTTACTTTGCGCGTGTTTCATCGGGATTACTTCCGACGGTATACACGCCGGAATTGGGTTACAACGCGGGAACATTGTTACGGGCTGCATCAATTCTTTCGAAAATTTTCACTTGAGTGAAACCACCGAACCCCCTCCCCTCTCTCTTTTACTCTGCATTCACAATTAAAAAGAACTGAGCGATTTTCGAAAAATACAGTTAAAATTATAATTGAGTTATATAGAAAATCTACAGCAATTACTCCTCCGCTCTCTCTCTCTCTCTCTCTCTCTCTTTCTCTATCTCTCCCTCTCTTTTTCCCTTCACGATACAACGACTGAGGCAAAACGATATCCGTTGGCGCCCGCCGAGGGAAATCGCGAAAGAGAGAGAGAGAGAGAGAGAGAGAGAAACCGGAGACTGACCTTCAGAGTCCCTCCCGCTCTAAATTGCATTTCTGGCTATATCACGGATTCGCGAAATTTCATTTTCCCGTTTAAAGACGACGGATTCCATCCGAGGATCATATCGGTATACGTTTATCGCCGGTAAGAAAGTGAAGGGAGAGGGGGGAAGGTAGCGGACGGAGAAAAGCGTTCAAAGTTGAACGCGACGCGCGGAGGGTGCAGCGGTAGCAGCCGAAACGCGCAAACCGATGACGCGAGCGTTAATTACGGCGCAAAGCGCGCTTCGCCAGGTTACAGGTAATTGGCCGATTCTGGGGCAGCCGCGGCGGAAAACCAGCGACTGGAAATGACATTTAAAACTGCAAGCCTCTCTCTCTGCTGCCCTCTGTCGCTTTCTCTCTCTCTCTCTCTCTCTCTCTCTCTCTTTCCACGTTTGAGGTCGGATACGGCCGACACAGGGGTCAGCCGGCCGTCGTCCCCCTCGTCGTCCGTAGTTGTGCGCTCTGCGCTCTACGCCTCCTCCTGACGCGCGCGCGGACACTTTGTGCATCGGTTATAACCGGGCGAGCGACGCGCAAACCGCGTTTTACTTGGCATCGCAGTTTAACAGGGTTAAGTCGCGGCGGTTCCCGGGCTTTTAACTCAAACAACACCCCGCTGCATTATATATCAAAAGAGCGCAACGCACCGACGACTGTTTTAATATGTACCCGCTCTCGCTCGGAATTCGAGGCCGTAACGTGCGCGCGCCCGGCTACACCGACGAACCCCCATCACGTTCCCTCGCGTCCGCTACCGACGCCATCCTCGACCCCCCAACTTCTCTCTTCCCCCTTTCTCTCTCTCTCTCTCTCTTTCTATCTCTCAGGCTGTCTCTGTCTTTCTCTCGGTCTCTCTGTCTCTCATTGCCGAATCCTCTGTCCTTAATGTCGTCGCAAACCGCACCACTGTCGTAGGACGTCGTTGATGTCCAATTTGCCGTTGATATTTTAACACGACGTATTAATAAACATAACGCGAGGCCCAGACCACCGTCTGAATTTATCTCGTTCGATGTCCACGTTCGAGGACCTCTCCTCGGGCTGTAGAGGATACGCGTGTATGTGTGCATGTCAGTTGAAAACGTCTCGGTCCCCTCTAATCGATTCCACGACCCTCGAAGAATACAGGGTGTCTTGGGCCGACATTTGCGACCGTAACTTGATTTCGTCGCCCCGCATGCGTCTTTGATTCGATTACGCAATGAGTCACAGTGAAAAAAGATAGGCGGGGGATAAGTGTACCTACCTGCCTATCTTTTTTGAACGGCGTCGCCTTGACGGAGTATCGCGTTGATGATGGAATATAAAATTACGAATCTACTCCCCGTCTCACACACACACACACACATGCGCGAGTTGCGTTGTAAGATATGAAAGGCTTGCGAAAGGCTTGCGAAAGTTCGTCGGAGGACCGATGATTTCACTGACTCGAGAAATGAGTGATTTCGGACACGCGGTATGGCTTGGAAAGTGAGGGAAAAAGAAAAGAGTTTGCCGTTATCGGGTAATAGTTGAGATCAATTTTCCGTGAGCTTTCCTCGCGATAAAATCTTTCCTCTGAGATTTCATGTTTCATTTCGTGATTCTCTTTCTAATCATTAATTAATAAAACGATCCTACAATAGGGAAAAGGGTGTACATATCCCATAGGTAGCACGGTTAGTTTCACACGGGGAGAAATATATTGATTTCCGGGGATAGCAATAATTTTTTTTTCACTTTAACCACAAAAATAAGCGAGAGAACTATTTTTTCTAGTAAGTGTTACTGTAGTATCAATGATAATAATCTCACGTGGATACGTTGATGCTACTATTTTTGTGGTTAAAACAAAAAAAGATATTGTTGTCCCCGAGAATAACTGTATTTTTCTCTCAGTTCATATACGTTCTTTAAACGTATGTAATACGATTATGAAACGTTACAAACGTTTTAAAGATGAGTAAACGAATATTCGGCTTTATAAAAGTGCAATATAGCCGCAAGGTAAGATTTAACAAATAATAATAATTTAATAAATAATAGTACGTGCTTTTCAGATGCATATGTTAACATTATTGACGACCGTCCATTCAATATTTAGATTTTAAACTATAGTCTTTCTTTAATATTTGAAGCCGTTCCGTATTTACACCCTTTCCCTTACTGTTTTCTTAAGAATTATAAAGTAAAAGAAATCAACCAAAGAAGCCTGGTTAAAAATTCAACAGACTTTCGTAAGTCTCTAGTTCAATATCCGAGACGTATCGCCCACTAATTGATCTCGTGCTGTTAATTAAGATTCTCATTAAACGTTCACGCCAGATCGAGATTCGTTCGTAAAATATATTGCACGCCCCAACGAGACAATCTATCGTTCGTGAGCGGATTCGACCGACAAGGAAACGTCTTTCGGACTCGAAGCGCCGTGTGCCGAAAAGCCGTTCGTTTTCTTTTTCTCTCCCGAGTGCGAGAAGCGGCACGCTACACTCACCTGAATTCTAGCCTCGTTCAATTTGGTGGTCCTCGCCAGCTCCTCCCGGCAGTATATGTCCGGATAATGAGATTTTGCAAACGCCGATTCCAATTCTGCCAGCTGCTCCTACGAAACAATTGGAGAGCCGTGGTAAAGGTCGATTTCAGCTAGCCGGCAGGAAATTTGGACGCGATGCGAAAGAGTGGAGTTAATCGAAATGCCAATGTCGAGGAGGGCGCGGTGTGCTCCGAAGAGGCACGCGTTTTCGAGAAATCTTGGCGAAGCGTACCGCTGACCGAGAGACGAGCAAATTTCATATTATCCGCCAATCAAACCTAAGTAATTTTGGTCACGATGTAACACGTGATGTATTTAATTCGCATATACGTAAATGGGTGTAAACCGATATGTTTTGTGTTTCACCAAACATTTATGTTAATATTGAAATATTACATATCAATTAAAAATTACACGCACAGATGTGTATATTTTCGTCAAATGTGAGCGATCCTAGCTATAATTGACGTTAAGTTTCGCTCCGTTATTCAAATATACGATTGTCTTGCGCAATGCAAATGCGAGGGGCGTTTTGACAACGTCGATATTTCTGACACGTCGCGTGCCGTTTCAATCTAAAAACTGCCAATGTGTTAACTGTTTAGACACTCTCATACAAACCTGCGTGAAGGTAGTTCTGTGTCGCCGTCGGGCGGGTGTTGGACAACTGGCTGTCGTAGGTGTGTGGCCAATGTGAGGACTGGAGGCGCAGGGGTCGGGCTTTAACTTTTTAAAAGCGCCTTCTGCTCCTGCAATAAAAGAGAGACGCGGCTTTAACGCTTTCGCGAAGCTGTCACGCTGACGACAGACACCTATTTCTGTTAAAAGCAAAAAGTAAGGACGTGCGTAGCATCGTGTCCGTATTCGACCGCGGTAACGTTCGTATCGTCGACGGTATCAGATAAATTTCAATCTTGCCGACGTACATTTACATACACACATTTACGCCATGTATGCGCATGTATATGTCTGTAATTGTATTGCAATTATTTCGTAATTTTATAATTCGAATTACACTCGCCGATCGCGCCCATAAAGTGATTTAATGACGTATTAATAGCCGTCATATTATGCATATATTTAATAAAAAACTGCATGTTTAACATTGTACGTCGTCAACACCCACACATACACATACATATGCGCGAAACATAGATATATTATAGGTGCAATAACAAAAAGACAAAAGAGGCAGAAAGCAAAGGGACGATCCGTGAATAATTAATTTTGCATAATGCAAAAAGAGACGGGTTATTCCGCAGCCATTATTCACAGAGTCAGCGATGAAAAAATCACGGCGCTTTTATTCAAGGGGAAAATATATCTTCCAAGGATTGCCGGGAAAAAAACAAATTTTCTCATCGGACACACTGATACGTTGCGGAACTTACTGAGGAAAAATTGTCATCGACAGCGCGATATATTCTCGTCCTCCTAAACCGGCTCGTCCAAAAAAATACTAGGGGGGAATGTGAAAAAGAAAGTAAATATTGCCACGAATTAATATAAATCGCGATAAAATTGTATAAAATTATAGTATAATAAATATAAATTGAAAAGAGAGCAATTAAAAAGGAGAAAAACTCGTGAGTGGGATTAGCATAATTTCTCGAAAAACGCAACGATCGCTCGCTCCGAAGAGGAGAAGAAATCTCCTCGCCCTCATCATCGCCTAGACGGACGCGCGAAAAATTCTCCCGCCGCGTTCCACGCTCGCTCGAGTTGTACCCCGCGTGTTGCGTTTTCCCGGGGCGACGCGATCAACAAACTCCGTTAACGATCCTCGTTACGCACTTGACGCCGGGGTCAATTCGCCCCTGGATTCTCTCTCCGCGTGCCCTCGTGTATTGTTCGCCGGTTAGAAGGTCGAGGAGAGGCTCGGGCACCGGCGGAGTAGCCGGCGTCGGAGCGGCCGAAACTCGATTTCCGGTATCGCTTTCATCGCCGGAAAATTCGATATTCCACGGAAGGCGCGATTCACCGAACTTTCGACCTCGAGGCGCGAGAAGTCCATGGCCGCCGTCGCCGCCGTCGTCGTCTTGGTTGCCGCACGATGCGATGCGACGCCGATGCGACGCGGGTGCGACGCGGTGCGGCGTCGCGACGCCCCGGCTTTATGAACGAACGTAGGTAGAGAGGTACCTACCCAGGTCGCACGGTCCCGGGGTAAGCGTGGCGAGCGAAGTCCCTCGCACTATGCTAACTTGGTTAGGGCGTTAATGACCTAATCATGTTACATGCTGATTCAATGTTCAAGGATGAATGCTGTCCACTTTACATACCTTGCCCGGTTACCCGGTGAACGGGGAAACTCGGTCAAGTTCAGCGAAGAAGGCGAAGGGCCTCTCTCTCTCTCTCGCTCTCTCGCTCTCTCACCGGGCGACCCGTTTCCTTCCCGACCGCGTGCCGCGCTTTGAGGTTTTTATTCGTTTCTTTTTTTCTCGTAGCGCCAACTCGCGCCTTTATGTTTAACTATTCCATTACACACATATTTTTTCGTTTTCAATCGGTAAATAAATAAACAGCCGATAAGAGCCAACGAGGGTGGCTTCGGTTGAGTTGAAATTGTCGATTTTACAATTATATTGTCGCAATTAGCGTCCTAACCTGGTTCTTATTGGCTATTTGTTTACTTACTGAGCAAACAACCGGGAAGTTCGATTACTTTTAGTTGCCGTTCCTTTCAAGCTCGAGTCTTACGACGCGTCTTTCATTCCCGGCGCTTTGCCGAGCGGATACAATTTCGAGGGCATACGGGTTTTTTCTCGACGCGTCTCGGAATGTAATTAAGAGAAATGTGGAGATTGCGCGCCCGGTTTTTGCGACTAACTTGATAGAAGGTGAGAGGTAAGGAGGACAAGGGGGCAAAACCGGAGAACAAAACGAATCACGGTCGAACGCACGGCGATAAATGATGTAGCGCAATTAAATTCTAAAAGTTGTGATAATGCAAACTGGAAGGAATTCTTTGTTCCATTAAAATTATATCCCGTTTTAACGCAACACAAAGCTTGCTCTAATTTTTCCCCCGCGCTGCTATAGATTGAAACGGGATTTTCATAAATGATACGAAATGAAATTAATGTCTCATAAAAGGTATCGGCAAAAAAAAATGTTTTCCGGGATCTTTATGACAGCGAAATGAATTTTTCCCATTAATTCGCAGTATGTGACAATGGGATATCGACCCATTAACGCAACCTCCCTGTGACTCTTCATTCTTTTGTATATTCCGCGAAATATCGTTACGCGCACTCTTCAACTATTGTTCGATACGAACTTACAAATTGCGGCTTCGTAATCTAATTTCGGAAGTCAAAAAAAAAAAGTTTATTACTCGATTGTAAATTTAGATTCGTGGAATATACTTGCGCACGGGCGCTGTTGTTTCAATTTGTTCAGCATTTGAATCCGTTTTTATGCAATTACGAAGTTTTCGATTGCAGAAAATAGGCAATTTGCGATCGTCAGTTTTTCATCTTTGACGTAAAAATCCGGCTGAAAATTACATCCTTACAAATTACGTTTGTTAAAACGAGCTCTCTCTCTCTCTCTCGCTGCGAACGTACGTTCGTTCCGCTGCCGGACTGCGGACACGCTATTATTATAATCGCGTCGACAAAATCTCCCTCGCTTTCTCCCGCTTCATTGGCTCACCGGCGCGAGAGACGCAATTGCTGCGTAATTCGCGCGATCGGAAACACGACGCGGAAATCGGCCACGAGATGCGGGCGAGATGGCGTTCTCAGGGAAAAAAATCCGGAAAATATGCGCGCAAAGCATCTCAATTGCGGGGGAATTCGTCGGAGAATTCGGAATCCGTAATTTTGCTCTCCTTTCGAATTTGAGTTCCTCGCGGGGCGACAGATTAACAAAGCGGAATAACGACGATGAAACGAGTCGAACGATCAGACGGACGAACGGACGGACGGATGGTCCAGACGTCGTTCGCAGCCGATTTAACCCTTTGTCCGGCGAAGTTACAAGCTGTTCGTCGACAGTCTCGAGCGGCACACTCGAGGAAGGCAGCCGGGAAAAGGAGTACGGCGGCCGAGGGGGTGCGAGGATTGTGAACGGCGCGGCGCCGCGCGCCACGCCGGCGAACATCTGCCCCCGCAAATTTTCGACGCCGTCCGGGGGTGGGGGGGGAGTCGAGAGGTAATTAGCGGCGATTTTAACGAGGTGACGCGCGAGGCGCGACGAATGACACGATTTACAGGATTACCGGTAATGCGGATCGCGCGGATGGCCCTCGACCTGCAGCTGCCATCCATCCGCCGGCATCTGCTGTCACATTAGAACGTATTATCGCCGCGTGAAAAGTGATACGCGCGATTGCCCGCGTTATGCGCGCGTGTGTACACGCGTGTGTGCAGCTTTGGTGGCTGCGCGCCGGTTTGTTTTCTCCGCGCGCCGGCGAGCCGCAAGGATCAATTGGCTTCCGGCTAATGACGATGATGACGAGAGGAATATCGGGGAGATCGTAAATTCCCTCGAAATCCCTCCCGAGCGGAAGCCGCGCGATTTTCGACTCGTCGGAGGACTCGCTGCGGGAACTCGAATGGCGGAAACGTCCCTGGGACACTCGACTGTGATTAACTGTCTCTGGCATAAATTGTCACTTTGCAACTGGCGCTTTGAAAACCTCCCCATTATAAAGCATTAAGAATTCTTGTTGTTCCTGCATCTGCATGGAAAGCCTATGCCGGCGAATAATCTTCGCTTCAACAGGATTTTAATATCACGAGTTTGAGGATTAACGCGACGTGTACAGTGACTATTCCCACATTGAAAACTGCTGAAAAATTGCTAAAGTAAATATTTTCTATAAGGAATATTGGAGTAGTTTATTTTATTTGGAGGTTCAACCGTTCCATTTCGAGCGAAAATGTCCATCCGACGATTCGAGGCGGATAGTTCGAGCGACTCGACGATCGATCTCTACTTATCGAGCGGAGTTTCGCTCGAGGAAATTCCGAGAGCACGCGTGGAGAGGCTGACGGCGGTCATGGGGTTCGCGCAACAGGGACAGGAGCGCCCTGCTTTTAAGGAGGACACGGGAACCGCGCGGAAGACCGTCGCCCGAGTACTTTTAATACCCCGGGAGAACCCGCGAGGGGGTTAACGACATTAATTTTTCCCCAGCCCCTTGCCCCCGCCGCACCGCACCCCCGCGTCCGTCCTCGTTTTATTCCGCGCTGCCTTTTTTTCTCTCTCTATCTCCCTCTCTCTCTCTCTCCCGTCGCGAGGCGGCTCGACGCTCCTGTCGGATTTCCATTTGCATGAGAATCCCGCGGTAGTCTCATTTCGTTTCCGGAAACCCTGACCTTGAAGGGTGCGACGGATACGCCGGGATATCGCTGTTTGCAAATCGGTGCCACCGCGTGAAATTCATTTTCGAGCATAATAAGGCCGAAAAAATCCTAACGACCGTCGGCCGACCTGTTGAACTCCGTGTTTATCGAGCTGTACTTCGTCCTGGAAGTAAGGACACGCATTGAGGACTCGTGAGTCCATTTCTGCACGATTCTGCGCTCTCCGTGTCTCATACGACCGATGTCGACGTTTACTCACGTAAAACTTCAGGAAGATCGATCGGAAAATCTCTTATTCCGCGTCGCGTTTCATCATAACGTCGCCTTTATCATTTCTACTCGAACAGTTGACTTGAACAGTTCGAATGCGATATTCAGAAACGAATACAATAGCGTGACATTATTACGAAAGACGCGAGGAATATTATCGCAAATAGTAACGAGATTGCAGGGTAAAAGAGTACAGGAGACAGGCGTCCTCTTTCTTGCGCTAATCAGCGCGGAAGGCGCGATTATGCATATACACACAATGCGGGCATTATGAAGCGATTATGTTTCCCGGATTATATCGAATGTCATTGAAAAACGACGCGATGATCCCGCGAGTCGCGCTTAGACAAGCACGAGTTGACGTTTCGAGCGTAACGGGAAACGCGATACAATGACAAAAACGGCGATAGGGCGTCGAGGACGAGTCCCTTCGCTCACGAGTCTTACGACCCATCGAAAACTGGGCGCCAGACTTGTCACTCGTTCGAGCCCTTATTCGGCGTGTCGAGCCCACCCCATTAGCACACCCCCGGTGTGCTAAGCTCTCTCTTAAGCCCCACTGGCACATAATAATAGTCCATAGAACAGGTACCACCATATGTCTGGCCCACCCGATCCATTGTCAACACTCAGGGCTGGTCGCGTTGACAGCGCGGACGCGTGCTCGAGGCTCAACAAGCGGAAAATACGTCTATCTCGAGATGACACGATGTCCATTTCTCTTCCGGCACTGATCAAAGGCGTGGATAAAGGCCCGACCCGTCTCGGAAAGTCGCGAAATCGTATCGCGGGATACTCGAGGCACAACTTTGCCGCGAGCTCTGTTCGCGTTCCTCCCTCGAGGATTGCCAAACTCGCGCGTTTCAAAGCTGAAAAGCACCGAAACGATCCGCTGTTTTCGATGTTATAGTAATCATTCTTGTAAGATTTCTTTATTATTTCTATCAGCAATTTCTGTCTTTACGATATCCTGTTCGCGCGGGCAACGCTTGTCGCGGTCTTGATCGATTCTGCTGCACACGAGTTTACGGTAGATCAAACCTCGCAGTGAAAAGAGCGATGCGGCGGTCAGACAATGCCTGATCTTCTCTATTCGCGATATGATAATTCGTTAATGTTGTATAAATGCGAATTCCCGCGCATTTGATAGAAGTCGAGTCTTCGCAGTGAAAGAAACGGTGCTGCGTTCAGACCAGGTGCGACCTTCTTCGCAACGAAAAAAGCGATACAATAATCATGAAAACAGACTTGTCTAACCATTCATCTCGTAAAATAATAGCTTTATTTCGATAAAAACGAACGTAGGGCTTGTTAATGTCAAGACGGACGGATGATGGGCACAAATTTTTCACGACTTTGCGAACTAGTTCTCGTGGCAAAAGAGCGATATACTGGTGCAGACGAAGTCTGATTTCTGCCGTTCGCAAACTCATAACTGTGCTCATGCGAAAATATCACAAAAATCAACCGTTTCTCGCGACTTTACAAGAGACGATTCTTCGTAGTGGAAAAAGCGATACACTGGTCAGACAAGGTCTGATTTCTTCCGTTCGCAAACTTATATAAAAATACCGCAAAAGTTCCCCTCGGCTAATATCAGAGATATTACCGTAGACAAGACCGTTTTTCGCGACTTTACAGGGGATCATTCTCCGTGATGAAAAGGCGACAGATTAGCGTCAGACCAAGTCTGATTCCTGCCTGCGTTTGCAAACTTATGACTCTGCTCGAATAAAAATACCAGAAAAATACCGCTTGCCATGGCCAAAATAACCGCGAATAAAACCATTTGTCGCAATTTTACGGGAGACCATTCTTTGTGACGAAAAAACAAAAAAACAAAACAAAACGACACACTGATTAGACAAAGTCTGATCTTTGCCGATCACAGGCTCACAACTGTACTCGGATAAAAATATCACAAAGTATCGCTTGCTAATGCTAAATAATAATGGTGGACAAGACCGCTTCTTGCGACTTTATGGGAGGTCGGTCCTCGTGGTGAAAAAAGCGATACATCCTGCCGTTCGCGAGTTCACAAGATACGCTCGGATGAAAATACGAGGAAAGTAGGGCTCGCCGATGTGACCGTCGGGGTTGAAAGCGCTCTCGACGCGTTTCGACAGTCAGAGGCGAGGAAGATCGAGTCGAGATACTCACCGACAGTGGTGGTAGCTCCGACGCTGCTCCTGCCCGGCGTGGCGGCGGGCGTCGGCGGGCTCGCCTCGAGGCCCTGGTGCACACCGTACAGGCCGAAGTCCTGCTCGTTGGAGCTGGCGCTGCTGCACTTCCTCTTCTCCTGATTGTGATTCAGGTGGAAGCTGTCGTTCTCGACCAGGCCGACGCCGAGCAGGCCCAGATTTGGCCTGAGCTCGTCCATCAGCTTGTTCTGGCCACAATTGGCGGCGGCAGCGGCGGAGAAGTTGAGCTGCCGGCTGAAAATCGCCGGGAATATGTTGAACTGCTGATGGTCGAGGCTGAGGGCGGTCGTCGGCAGGGACGAGCCGCCGCCGCCGCCGCCGCCGCCGCCGACGGAGGTACCACCGACGGAACCGACGCCGCCCGCACCGGGTGCCCCGGTACCTCCGGACAGGTCGTTAGCCAGGGTGATGCCGGGGGGTGACCTGGTCGAGGTCGCTCGTATTGGAAGCACCTGAAGCTCTCCACCGTCTACGAAGACATCTTCCGACGGGAGCCTTTAGTTGAGGACGCCCAGCGTCCGCTCGGCGGGTGCGTCTGTTATCTTCGTATCGTTCTCCTTCTTCTTCTTCTTCTTTCTCGAGATCGACGTAGCGAGAGCGCCTCGTGCAGTCGTCGGGAGTGAGCTCGGGCTGTGAGAGGAGAGAAGGGCTCTTTACCCTCCTACGCTGGCTTCTCGGTGACTTCAACGAAGGGCCGGACCGCGAGACCCGTGAACGTATCCTTCCCTCTCGATGCTGCTCGCTCCTCGGGGAGGATCTTAAGCTCGGTCTTCGAGGGTGATTACGGTTCTCAGGAAAAATAGTATCCGTGTTCTTATGAACCGTCCAAGAACTTGGAGATCAGTCGGTCGATCTTGAAGATTCCCTTTTCCTTGAACATCCTCCCAAGAGACACTTGCGCGCTGCACCTTTCGTATCACTTTGGTCGCTGAGAGTCGTGGACCTGGACGCGAAGGTGTACCCCGAATATTATCGCACGGTGGACCTCGGACTGTTTTCCATTTGTCGGCTACCACAGGAGATTTCCTTGATTAATCAGGATCATCGGGTAATTACGCAAGGATGAATCGCGTAATACTTGGAGTTTAGTCAACGGACGTTAACCCGATCCTCTCCCGTCGGTAGATCTCAAGCGACTTTTCAGGTGTAAATCTTCGGAAGAGTCCTCGCCAGCTGCGAGGTGAATCGAGCGCTCGCAACAACGGGTGTCTTCATTCGCTAACAACTTCCTCCGAGTCCAAGCAACGATCCATTTACGGAACCAACCGCCTACGGAACGGACTTCTGAACGGGATGGATGTCTGTTCTGTGACTAACGGAGAACAGTCGATTCTTCGAGTAGATTCATCATCCTCGGGCTCGGATCGCGCCTTTTCGACGACAACTGCGATTCCTTTTTGCACTTTCGGCGAACGTGGACACGCGTTTCTTCGGATTTTCACTTTTTGGGGCGGGGTTCTCCTCTTCGTGTCTCCCTCCGAAAGACTCTCTCGGCGATCTCCTTCGAGAACTGTCCGGTCGGGAAATCCAATTAGGCGAACACGTTCTTTTTCTTCAATTCTCTCCTCGTCGAGACTGCCGTGAACTCCCTTTTGCTCTCTTTCTCTCTCTCTCTTCCTTTCTCTCTCTCTCTCTCTATTTCTTTCTCTTTCCTTCCCCTCTCTCTCTCTCCCTCTCTCTATCTACCTATCTATCTTTATCTCTAGTCTACTCTACTCTCTCGATATCGCTCCTTGAAGGAACGAGAACGCGGACAACGAGCCAAAACAAATGCACGATACCCGAAGTCTCCGGGAACAACTACTAGGGCATTCGCGGAGGATACGCGACGGCGGGTGATCTCTCTACGCGACTCCGGAATTCGGCCGCGATTCAAATCTGATTATCCCGTCGATCCAATTAGAAGGGTGCGCGTCCCCCGCGTAGGGGGGAAGGGGCTCGTTCGTCGACGCGCTGGGACCAGCTGGCCTTGAAAACGCGAATATCGAAGTAACTGGCGAGAAATGGCGCGCGTGCAAATCGGACCCAAGAAGTGGCGCGCACCGCGCGAAATGAGGACCCGATAACGACGACGACGACGACGACGAGGACGTGCACGACGCGCCCTTCTGTCCTTCCTTCCTTCTTTCCTTCCTTCCTGAGGAGGACAACGCGGTGGGAAAACCCGGTGACGACAGGAGCGGAGAGAGCAAGTCAGAGGGGGCGACTGCTCGCCGTGAGTTCTTGTGGGATTCTGTCCGCGAAATGCAGTTATCCCGGTGACTCCGCGCGGGGGTGAGTGAGAGTAGAGAACGCGTACGAGGGGGTTGCCCGCCCGCCTGCCTTTCGACCGTCGTCATCGCTCGTGGTAGGGGGGGTTGTTGCCCGTAACCGATGTGTTGCCACCCTCAGCCCCTGCGCGGCCGCCGCCGACGCCGCCGCCACCACTGCCCCCCACGACGCGAGGGCGCGAGGAGCGTAGGGTTCGCGCCGGATTGGCCCGGCGGAGGGATGCGTCGCCCGGGCGACGACCAACCCAGCGGGCCGCCGCGATGTCCGCGTCGTCCCCACCGGCGCCGCCAACATGGCGGGCGTACCAATAAAAATTCCTCCGGAAAATAGCCTGCGAGCGATTTTCTTTCCGAGGCTACCAGCGCGTTGTAGCGCTTTTCCGACGACGCACACGCTTCGTCCCAGTCACCAATACGCGCCAAGGGGATATGCCGTACAAGTCCCTCCTCCTCCTCATCCTCTTGCCCACCATCACCATCGCCCTCCTCCTTCTCCATCTCCGTCCTCGTCATCGTCGTTCTTCGCGTCCCGCACCCTCTCGCCCTGTTCTTCCGTCTCGCTCTCTGTTTCTCTCCGTCTTTGTCTCCCGCTCTATTCGCTGCTATCGTGCTATCCCTTTTTCTCCCTTTCCCCTTCCCCTTTTCCTCCGCGCGCGCGCGGCTCTCGTCTTCGTTTTTATTATCTCGCGGCAGATAGCTTTTTTAATTCTTTTCCCCCTTTTTCGGGATTTGATTGTAATGTACACCCACGACTGTGACCCACCTGCGTGCCGCGCGACGCCGCTGCATCGTTTGTGCGCCGTGAGATGCATTCGGCCCGGCGCTAAATGTCTTTGTGTATCTCACGCGGCCCGGCTTTTCCAGAGGATTAGTAATTTCGAGATGTCTTCCAGCTTCCTCCCCCCGGTGCCCCTTTGCCAGCGAGCGCGTCCCGCTCACGCTCTTTCGCCACTCCGCGGTAGATTGCGTTTCTTGATTTCTTCCATTTTTCGGGCTTCCCCGTCAAGATCGTCTCTAGTCTCGTGTCTTCAGATCGGCTCTGTAGGACTTCATCCGGGACCGCTAATTTTATCTCTGAGAGAACTGGACACACGTGGTTATATCGGTCGTGAGAAATGAAAAAGCGATTAGAAACGATGATTCTCGTCTTTGTATCTTGCCCGCCTTTCGCCTCTCAACGTGTGACTTGACTGCGGAAACGCACAGCGCGAGTTGGCTGAGCGCGGAAGCTCAGATCGAAACTCCGTATCGCTTCTTAAGTTGAGACATCTTGTGACCGTGTGATTCTACGAAATCGTATGATTACATATTTCGATGTAAGGAAAAAGTGTTCCACTGCGTAAATTAGTGTATGTAAAGCTCGTTGATGAAAATAAATGTCTAGAATTTGCGTCTAGATTATACGAACCAACCCGAAAGTATTGCTGCTACATTAGTGATTATATTTATCTCCAATGTGATTCCAATTATATTTATTTTGTGATATTCGTCAGTCGCGCAATTCTAGCAAAAATATTGTTTCCAAATTACAAATATGTTGCATACCTCGCAGTTCCTTTTATTTGGATGGAGCAAATTGTTGGTCATCGTAGTCACCTCCAGTTGTTCAAGTTATTGTTCAAGTGTCGTGAATGGTAGACAATTCAAAGTCGCGTGTGGCAATCCACTGGTCTCCGACGCAAAGATGGAACACCTGTATTGTCAAAAAATTAAAAACATTAGATAAAAAAAAACGAACGAGACAAATGTCGAGAAAATGAAAGAAATTTATATCGAATTAGCGCACAAGTTCGTCCCGTTCTTTAATTAATTCTCCGCTAAGAAAAATCCTACATACTACATTCAAGTAATATTTACTTAATCCAAATTGCATAATTACCCTAATACTCTTTAACAAATATTTACTCGAACGTAGCACTTTTTTCTTTCAATACAAATGGCGGAATCATGCAGCTACCGGAGAAATAGGGTTATCGTACAAAACGACGACGCATACTTAATAGATTTTATTTAAAAATACATAAACGCTATATTTTGATAAAAAGACGGGAGGAACTTTTGCAACCCGATAGATTAACGAAAGACAAGAAGAAGAGAGCGAAAGGATTTAATGCGTCGCATCATCCGTCGTTCTGTTCGCGCCGGCAACGAGTGGATTAATTCGATCGTACTGAAATTCCTCAATTTAGTCGGGAGATAAAACATTGGTGTAGCTTGTCGCGATAAAAACCGCCTTACGTGGCAATTATGTTGAGTAGCGCGGATCATCTATTTCGTTCGCACGTTCCCGCGATCTTCTCATTCTCATTCCGACGTCCCCGCGCGATTTGCATCGTCATAGCTGTCGGCATTTCCATTTTCATTTCTGGCTTTCTTTGCGCCAGGCTACCTTCGCTTTGTCCCACGGTGGATATCATTTTTAAGTCCCCCACCGTCTCGCAAACGCAGGCTCGCTCGCGTCCGCGCGCACCTTTGTATGTTTCTCTCTGCTTTCTTCTTCTTCTTCTCCTCTCCCTCCCCTTCTTTTCTCTTCCCTTCTCTTCTTTTTTCCTTTCCCTCTCTCCCAAACTCTTTTTTTCCTCTTCCTTTGCAGCGCACATTTTCTTTTCTCTCGCGACGCGACGTGGAATATGCGCTCTCGCGCGCGTCAGACGCAAAGTCGTCCCTTGCTCTTCGATTTTATGCGACTCCTTCGTCCTTGCGCACCCTCTTCGAGGCGTCTCCGATGAGAGATGCCGGAGAAGGAGGAGAGAAAGAGAGAGAGAGAGAGCGAGGATCTCCATGACCGCTGCCGTGAGAGATCGATGAGTATTGCTTGAAATCGAAGCAGAGCGGAGAGAAAACAGAGAGAGAGAGAGAGAGAGAGAGGGAAGGCGGAGAAATGTAAAGTTTCGCGGAGAGCGCTCTCTCATCGGGAGCTCGACGGACGTCTCCAAAGTTGCGTGGCGTGCCTTTCAAAGGTTCGGCAAGCCG